GTGATGCACTATGGGAATTACTACCAAACTCTGCTCAGCAACATCTGCTCTCCCTAAGTGAGTTAGTGCACGTCAGACATCTTTATGTCAGAATATTGCAGTGATGGATGCAGTCTTCAGAAAATGCTGCATAAAAATCTGGTGTGCCGTTCTGGCCATTAAGTGAAATTACTATTTAAATTAATGGCGCTGTCACAGTTTATCTGTGCAAAGAATGAACGCTGATTAGGGTATTAAGTAATTAGCAATTTATCACGCTGGAACAAGGTTGATAATAATTAAAGAAGTAATGGTTTACCAAAGAAACTAGAAAGGGAGTCACTTCTTGTTATATGAGTGAAATCTTGGCTAAAAATATTATTCAGTCAAACAAAGATGAGATTCTTAGTGATAGAATGTAGCTTTCTCTTTCTGTCCTAGCATAAAAGCAATTCATTAGCAAAAGTTTACTTTGCCTGTCCAAAGAGCATCTAAACTAAATTGCTCTCACTTGTTATTGAAGAAGAAATCACTGTATGATGTAATCACATATTTTGGAGGAAGATAGAAAAGGAACAATAATTGTATTATTTTATTCTTTTTAAGATTGTAAGCTTTCCAGAGTTACCTCATGGTGAGCTGAGTAGCAAACACATTTAAGAAATACATGAAATAAACTCTAACTGACTTATAAATGCTATACCTCTTATACTGCTCAGGACTGCAGTCCTCATGTGAACCAGTGCTAGGCACATAAATATAGTAGACCTGTTTTATGGACTCTGAATCAGCTACTGATATTTTTCCTGGTGCAATATCAAGTGTTACTTTTAATCTATAAAGCCCCATACAGCTTGGTGCCAAGGTACATGTATCTTCAGGACTACCTCTTTCAAGTGGAAGCCAATCCTGTCTTTTACAAATAACCTGGGAAAAATAATACCATAAAACCAGGAGGTGAAAGTGGAGGTTCTTTTCTATTGTGGCTGCGTGTTTTGGAACAGTCTTTTGCTAACCTCATTGGCCTTCTGGAATTTATATTTCTTTTATATAAATGTATTTGTATTTAAGTTTTTCTATCTCTATACATAGTTAAATCATAGCCATCTTCTTTCCACATTCCACCCTTTCCGTTCATCAAATCCATAAATCACAACTTCATTTTTTTCTATTTTCAACAAAAGGTCCATAAAAGTTTCCAGCCACTGACAAATGTAGTTCTTGTTTTTTCCCTAATCAAGCAAGCCAATTTTGTCATCTCTGCAAATTCATTTTCACAACCATTCCTCCATTGTGGCTAATTCCAAGTTTTTCCATCTTTGTGCATATAATAATCTTCTTCCAGTGATCATGAACAAAGTATCTTCTATAAGTCTTTGGCAGTTGCCTATCCATTAGTCACAAAAATGTGATTTCAATTGAATATTAATATTTAAAATACTTTGTTGTCGCTGTAAGACAGTTTGGTCAAGTGGTTAAGACACCAGGCTTAAAAATGGGAGACCATGAATTCTAGTCCTGCCTTAGCCAGCTGGATAACAGTTCAGTCACTGTCTCTCAGCCCAACTCACCTAACAGGGTTATTTTTGTGAGTATAATAGGAGGAAGAAGATGTGTTGGGTATGTTTGCCCTCTTGAGTTATTTATAAAAAATAATAAAGGCAGGATACCAATAAATAAATAAAAATCTCCCACAGTCCTTTGTTGATAGTAGAAATAAAATGAATTTAAATAAAAGACATTCAGAGAATAAAATTGTCTACTGCTGTACAAGTAGAATGGAAACATTAATGGGGATCATTTCATTCACATATTACTCCCTCAGGTTTAATAATATGGATTTCTTACAAAGTAATCAATGTTGGATAGTATATAAGATTAAACTGTCTTGTTTGAAAAGTTTGGCTCCACTATGATATGATATCATTTATATGCATTTGAATTTAACTAATCCCATGAATAAAATAACTTCATTGATTACATGGCTAAGTTAATCATTAGGTTTATTATATCACATAATGTCTCCTCTGCTAAGGTGGATCTTTATAATCTAATTTTTTAAAAGGAAACTCTTGCTGAAAGAAATCCTGATTGAATGTTTGACTGTATAATAAATACAAATAGATACATTCAGAGATCTTGTTCAGAATATCTCTTTAAAAAATGTTTGCACTTTCTATTTTTGACCTGGACCTATTCCCAAGATTCCTTCCTTTATAAATACTGGCAGGCTTACCAGCATAACATGTCAAAGGAGCATGGAGGTTTTATCATACTGAAGAATTATTATGGACAACAAAAAACAACTGCACTGTTCAACCGTTTGAACACTGCAAATATAGGCAGAAAGCAATTGTATAAAGGAATGTGGCTTATGAGAGAATGAAGATGTCTTTCAGAAGCATAAATAGAAAAATTAAATGTCCTCCTTTCCACAATAAGAAAGTAACGAAGAATAATTTTAATTTAAAAAATAACTGGGCAAGTTTCCCTCTCTCACTATCATTCTTGCTGGCATGGTAATCTTATCAAACCTATCTGATAATAGAGGTTCTATTACACAATTGCTTATTTTTTGATGACAATTCATATGGATTTTATTATAAATGATTTTTAAAAAGTTCATGGAGGAACAGCCATAATTAGAAGTGAATCCTAAGAGCTATTTGGAAAAAGTACAAAGAAGAGCAACCAAGGTGATTAAAGGCCTGGAGACTAAAACATACAAAGAACAGTTGCAGGATTTGGGTTTTGCTAGTCTAGAGAAAAGAAAGATGGGGGGGGGGGACATGACAGCAGTATTCCATATTTGAGAGGCTGCCACAAAGAGGAGGGCATCAATTTTTTTTTTCCCAAAGCACCAGAGAACAAAGAGAAACAAAGGGTGGAAACTAATTAAGGAGAGAAGCAACCTGGAATTGAGGAGAAACATCTTAACAGTGAGGACAATTAACCAGAGGAACAGCTTGCCTTCAGTTATTGTAGGGGCTTCATTATTGGAGGTTTTTAAGAAGAAAATGGACAGTCAATTGTCTGAAATGGTACAGGATCTCCTGCTTGTGCGGGGGCTGGACTAGAAGATCTCCAAGGTCCCTTCAGCTCTATTTTGATTCTGATTCAATTGTAAATTGATACTACAACTATCTCAGGAAGACAGGTGACATAATTCCAAGGAGCCTATAAAAACCCCGATGGCTTTCTGGCATAATCCTTGTTTGTTTCACTGGTTCTTCATATTAAAAAAGAGTGCATACAATATTGGTACAGATGCTACCTTTTTTTCAAATAGAGGTTTAAGACTGTAGAGGCTGCCTTATTCCAAGTAAAGTTGTTGATTTGGCTAATTCAGTCTGATTTATTTGGATTTATTTAGGCCAGACAAAACGTAACTGTGGTTATCTGATGTTTACTTTGATTGTTAATGGAGATATTCAAGACAGAACTTCAAAACTTCTGTATGGATTGAAGAGCTGGACTTTGGTCTGCCCAATTAGATGTCTTGATCTTAGTTATTTTCTTCCAGATTGCCTTTCTATCTTTAGGAGGTTATAGCTCTCCTAAAATTAGATTGTGTACATACTGAATCACAATATTATCAAGGACTACTGACAGATTGAATGGATTAATCAGATTTAGTTTCCAAACTGTCCATACCCTTAAATCCAAGCCTGTTATTCTACACACTTGGACCAGAGGTGGTATACAGCAGGTTCTGATCAGTTCTGGAGAACTGGTAGCAGAAATGTTGAGTAGTTTGGAGAACTGGTAGCAGAAATGTTGAGTAGTTTGGAATCCCACCTCTGACTGGCCACACCCCCATCTATTCTCTGCCTCCCGAGTCCCAGCTGATCAGCTGGGTCTTCTTTGGTTGCCCTGCACAGGAGAACGAAGCTGGAAAACAGGTTAGTGGGGTGGGGAGGGAATGGGGATTTTACAGTATCCTTCCACTGCCATGCTCACCAAGCCATGCCATGCCTACCAAGCCACGCCCACAGAACCGGTAGTAAAAAAAATTGAATCCCACCACTGACTTGGACACTTTGGAAAACATAATATTTCTTCTGAACAATTGTGTACTTTTCAGGCACTGTATAGTGTTGTGATAAATGCTTAATATGATTGAAAATATAGATTGTGAACATGGCCTATTTTTGTATCTATTTCATTCTTGTAACACAGGAATTGGCTTCCACAAAAAATAATCTAAGAATAGGCCACCAATACAACTTAAATTGTGTTTCATATCTTCATTTATATATTTTTGGATCCCATTTTTAATCTCTGGCAACTGTTACAGCAGGACAACTATAACAAAGCAGTGCTTTAACGAATATGCATTAATTACAGTATTGTAAAATATTGTGGCTTGAATACAATAGTATCCATTCAGAGGTGGAAAGCAGTGGAACTGGTGGAAACTTATCTTCGAGATCCCTTTTGCAATCTTGAAGGACCACTTGGAGATGAGAAAGAAGAGATACCACAATTTTTTGAAAGAAAATAGCAAAATTCTAACACTTTTTCTTGAGGAGAAATATTTTGGAGAAGAAACTAAATTAGACTAAATTCTGAAATACTAATGTATAGACATTAAGGAAATCTGTCTTTTCCTAATAACCAAATCTATTTTGCATTTTATATGACTTTAGAAAATCTGTCTTTCACTGATTCATTTGTTGACAAAACTGGAGGGTTGTTTTGTTTGTTGATAAGCAACCTAACTTTTTTAATTAAAAAAATTAAGTGAACATGGAATGTGGAACATATGAACTGCAAATAGTTACTCTCTGCAACCTATGCTTAAAAAGGAAATTGTCTTGTGCCAGTTCTTCAAGATTAGTTACTAAAGAAAGGTCTCTCAGACATGTTAAACTCAACATTTAAGTACTACTTTAGATGCCTTTCCTCAGTTTCAATAGCTACATAATGCTGGTGCTTTTATGATGAATTTTACAGCATTCTAGGAATTTCCTTCACTTTCTTCTCTTCTTGCCTTCATGTATAATATTTTTTTGTTTCAGGAATGTTCTGTTGTAGACATGAATATGTGAATATGTCAAGTATAGTATGCTGCTCAGCTTTCAGTGGTGAAACTAAAGCCCACATTAAAAAGAATAACTCAGTGCCATTAAAATGCTGTGTGACTGAACTTATTCCAGAGAGCGAAGAATGTTGTAATGGACTTGGATATAATCCCTTGAAATATGTTTGCGCTGACAGGATTTCATCTAGAATGATGATGAAGGTAATTGATAGAAAACCTCTTGGTGATTCTGATTTGACAATGGGAAGAGAAATACATTGTTCATAACTATTTTTGTAAAATAGGAATATAAAAACTCCTCTGTGCATTATTCATTTTCGCATTACATCCATATTAATACCAAATGAGTTTGCCATGATTGATGTTATTACAGTGAATTCTAAAGGAATTAATAATGATTAGCTGCTTCTTGTAAAGTATTGTTCAGCACTTCAGATTAGTATAAAGGCTAAAAGTGAACATTTTGGCCTGGCTGGAAAATGTGCATATGTGTGTGTATATATAAATATATATTAATGTTCAATTGCTTATTTGGTTGTTTCCATATAGCCTGTAATTTGGGCATTCTTTAAGTTTATGTTGGGTTTGCATGGGCAATAAGCATACATCTGAAGGGGTGGGAATGCCAAAATTTATCATTTTAACATTATGGCCATATGAGCAGTAAGTAAGAAGAAATATTAAGCAGTCCAAACTATCAAATGCTAAAACAAAAATATTTATTAAAATAAAATATCTGTAAAGGCAAAGCAAAGGTTTCCCCTGTCCAGTCATGTCCAATTCTAGGGGCTGGTATTCATCTCTGTTTCCTAGCCAAGGGAGACAGCATTGTATGAAGACACTTCCGTCGTCATCTGGCCAGCAGGACTATACGCTGAAGTGTACAGAACACCGTTATATTCCCAACAAAGATACCTATTTATCTACTTGCATTTGCATACTTTCAAACTGTTAGATGGGCAGAACCTGAGGCAAATAACAGGAGCTCACCCCATCAGGCAACACTTGCATTTTAAACCCAGTCTTTCAGCTTCCCAGCTGATAAGCTCAGCTTCTTCACCCACTCTTCTATGAAATACATATTAAAAATCAGCAAGTCGGTGAAGTGTAATGAAGTTAGGAATTTTCAGAAGACTTCAATAAGATCCAATAAACTATTGGGGCTAAAAGTTTGATACATTAAGATAGGTGCCAGGCAGAACTCTCTAAGGAAGAGATTCCAAACCTGGAAAGCGACTCTTAAAGCCACAATCTGTAAGTACACACCTACTGGGAGAAAAGCATTTGGGAGTTTTTCTCTTTGCTTCCTGTCTCAAAAAACGTAAAAGCAGCAGGATTTTAAAGGTGAGTCTTTAAAAAAAATATGAGTAAACTAAAAAAAATAATCCAACTAAAATATAAGGTGAGATTTTAATATTTCATGAAAGGTACCATTATAAAAGCTTGGAAATGTATATCAGAAAATACTTTGTGTATGTCTATTTAAGTTGTTTTTAAAGGTCTTCAAAAATTTGGGAACTATTGTTATAGATAAAAGAAGAATCGAAATGCATCCCACTGTGTCCTAGATCTACTGAAGAAGTGACATACTGTGGACAGTGTATCTTTGATGAGCATAGTTATTTATGTGCTTGGATAAAGAGTTCTCATAGTTATACAAAAAATAAAGACAATAAAAGGATCTGCCCATCTTTGGAGGAAAAGATTTATACAGGAGGCCCAACTCAGTATTCATTCAAAGGTAAAATAATATGTGATTACTCATTAAGTAAAGGTTGTAAATTCTGAAAGTGAAATATCAGTGAGGGATCATGTGACCTCTTTGGAAATTGTTTTGAAGTGAATAAAATCTTTTTATCAGTATACTGATAGATCTTAATTCAATGCTGATTACAATTGGAATAAATATATATTGTAAATGTAGGAGCCTAATTAAATCAAACTAAGAGTTCATCAAACCAAGGGATCACTAAAAAGCCATCTTTCCTATCTTCATAATGAGCACAGATTTCTAAAGCAGGTCAGTTACACCCATCATAATTTATAAGTGATTATTAAAATTACATAAATTTTTTGAAAGAATGCTTTGCAATGAACATGATTTCATATATGATTCATCTCTTTGAATCATTAAAGCAGCTGCTTCTTTTTCTAAACTCAAATGTCTGAAAATATGTATATTCTTGGTTTGCATGCTATCTCCACAATTGGAAATCCATCAGAGTTAGTGATGCAAATTCATCCCTTAACTATGGATGCTTTGAGATGGATTGCTCCAAATCTCATATCCTCTTGTGAGATTAGATGTTTTAGATGCTGCAGTTAATCTATTTAAATTGCCCTGATTATTGCTTCAATTACTTCCAAATGAGGCCCTGTTGCATTGGTAGCTTCTTCTCGTTTCCCAATTTCATGCTCTAAACTTTCATCCCAAAGCCATCCACTAAAAACATAAGTTTCACTAAATAATTTCATGTTCTACTATTTTTACAAGAAAGGAAGAAAAAAATCATTTTTTTTTAATTCCATATGTGTGTAATGAAGTTTTGATTTATGCACAATTCTTCTAAAGTGCAAAGCTTATGGAATGAAAAGATGGATTCACAAATCTGAAACTGAACCAGATTGAGTTAAGTATATCTAAATAGAAACCCAGTATACTTAGCATATAGATTGACAATAAACTCTTGTTAAATATTTTCCTTGTAGATAAGAATCTAGAACCTCATATTACATATGAATACAGGCTAGCTGCGTGGAACAAACATGGGAAAGGTTTTAGTGAAATGAACAATGCAACCACTAACCAAGATGTCCCTGAAGGTGTAAGTCCACCTCATTGGACAAAAGTGGATAATCGTGAAGATGTAATATTTTTAACATGGAATGAACCTTGTCAACCAAATGGTACGGTATTTTGTCAAACTACAATATCTGATTTAGCATTTAGCCAGCGCAAAGTATTTTGGGAACAAAAACATTTACAGTAAAATAATATTGTGCTTAAGTATATATCCCTAATATTTTATGTATCATCAAAGAATTTGTGTGTGTGTATATGTGTGTGTATGTGTATACACACACACAAAAATATATATAAATATGTCCATATAAAAACATGCTCATAAACACACATATGTGTGTATGTGCTTGTATATGTGTATATATAGACATAATCTATATATGGAATGTATGCACACACACACATACACATGCACACACATGCACACACACTCTTGCTTCAAATTCAAAAAGTGTTTGGATGCACAGGAGTGTGAACACAGCATAAGCCTTTAAAGCAGCTGTTCCTTTTCTTGGGGTAGCCATATATTTCCCTCAAAAGGTGAAGTTCCTTTCAAACTCTACTGACAAATGCTATAGGTTCCCTCCTCTGCATGCTCTAAAGCACTTTTCTAAAGTATTTTTAACTTCAGTTGCACTTCTGAAGTGTAAGTGTATGTGGTCTTGTTTATTCATTCATACTGATGAAGAATAACAAGTTTAATTACTGGAATTAGATTTCAGATCTTCATCTTCACCAGAAAAAAAAAAGTGCAATATATTTGATAAATGTAGTTCTACTTTTTTATTCACTTTATCATAATGGAATCATGTTCATGATATTCCCCAACCCACAACTTTTACAGGGTCTCATTTGAATGCAAAGTTACAAAGTCAGAATGTTGTATGAACAAATCCTAGGCTGTTGTGCTTTCTCTCTTTCGTTTTTCATAGATGAAAGGCAGAATTTAAAGTTGATGCTCTTGTTTTTATTGAAGTGGAGATGAATGCTATCTTCCTATAATATACTGTGAATAATATCACAAAAATCTATGAGGTTTATAAGAAATTGTTGAAACTTGTTTTTTTTTTTCAATAAAAACCACTGCTTCTGACCATTCTATATTAAGATATAACTTTAAAAATTAATTAATTAAAATTGGAAAGGAAAGGTCCAAACATCCCAGAAGAAGACAGCGGCAAACCACTTCTATGTTACTGCCAAGAAAATTGCATAGATATGTCCACAAAGTAACTAGGAGTCAAACTTAATTTGAGAAAGAAGAAGATGGAATAGTGTAAGCAGAACATACAGACCTAAAATTCAATCAGGAATTGCAATGATATATCCAAACAAGACAAAAAAGTCATCCAATGTATTATTTATTGTTGGTATCATGTTATGGTTCAAGCATATCTTTTTCTTATAGAATCATAATACTTTAGAACTTTAGTATATAATTATCTGGCGTACATTCAATTCAAACAAGTGTTTAATTTCCTTCTTTATTAATAAGGTATCATCATTTATTATATTATTCTCCGAAATGGAGTTGAACATTTCAGAGGAAAGGAACTGAGCTTCATGGACACCAGTGGTATTCAACCATACCAGGAATACTCATATTTACTGCGTGCTTGCACCGTGGCTGGATGTTCAGACAGTAGCACGGTAAGTAAATCTTTCAGTAAGTTGATGACAACATATCTTCTTCTCCTTCATCATGTTGTAGCAACCTTCCAAAGAGCACTGAAAATATGGAAACATTCATCTTTTGGCTACCTATTTTGATGTTTCCAGAGAAACTCTATCAGCCTCCTTGTGCTGTAGCCCAGCACAAGAAATGGGAGAAATCACCCAGATTTGGCCAAACAGCATGTAAATTCCTGTATATATTTGATTACTAAAAGACTGTGATCCTGTTTAGCTGATAGACTGTTGAATGGGATCACAGACCATTCCAGTAGTTGTAAATATAGACAATTGCATCCTTCCTTTTGATGCAGGCAAATATTAAAACATTAACTACTTTTGTGGTTTTTTCTGAACAATCTGGCAAAGTCAGGGATGAACAAGTGTTTGGCTGAGTATTAGAAGCTAATAGATTATTATAGAAATAAGTTATTACTCCAGAGAAAGCTCAGTCAATCAGAGTTTGATAATTGTTGAATCGAACTCAAGCATGCATAGCTTATGCCTTTACTGGCATTTGTTTAGCAGAGTCTCTGAATAATACCATTCTGGGGAGGCTGAAGAAATTTGCCTTCTCTGTTGTGGAGGAGCATATCAAATTGAATATATTGAATTAATATAAAATATTAAAATGGGGTGAATTGGGAGCAATGCACTCAAGCAAATAGAAGCAGTTTTGGGGAAAGATGCAGGAAACAAGAGTTCATAATACTTCTTGGACAATTGGGTCAACACCTTGTTGTAGGAATCAAATGTTGCTCTGTTCCTACAGGTGAAACTCGAAAAATTAGAATATCGTGCAAAAGTTCAGTAATGCAATTTAAAAGGTGAAACTAATATATGAGATAGACTAAGCCGTGATTTGTCATAATTGAGATGATTATGGTTTACAGCTCATGAAAACCCCAAATCCATAATCTCAGAAAATTAGAATATTACATGCAATCAATAAAACAAGGATTGTACATAGAACAATATCGGACCTCTGAAAAGTATACACATGCATACATACTCAGTACTTGGTTTGGGCCCCTTTTGTAACAATTACTGCCTCAATCTGGCATGGCATGGAAGCTATCAGCCTGTGGCACTGCTGAGGTGTTATGGAAGATCAGGATGCTTCAATAGCGGCCTTCAACTCTTCTGCATTGTTCGATGTCATGTCTCTCATCTTTCTTTTGGCAATGCCCCACAGATTCTCCATGGGGTTCAGGTCAGGCGAGTTTGCTGGCCAATCAAGCACAGTAATCCCATGGTCACTGAACCAGGTTTTGGTGCTTTTGGCAGTATGGGCAGGTGCCAAGTCCTGCTGGAAAATGAAGTCAGCATCCCCATAAAGCTCATCTGTGGAAGGAAGCATGAAGTGCTCCAAAATCTCCTGGTAGGCAGCTGTGTTGACCCTAGACTTAATGAAGCATAGCGCAGCAGATGACATGGCTCCCCAAATCAACACAGACTGTGGAAACTTCACACTGGACTTCAAGCATCTTGCAATGTGTGCCTCTCCATTCTTCCTCCAGACTCTGGGTCCTTGGTTTCCAAATGAGATGCAAAAGTTGCTCTCATCAGAAAAGAGGACTTTGGACCACTGAGCAACAGGCCAGGTCTGTTTTTCTTTATCCTAGGTAAGACACTTCTGACATTGTTTGTTGTTCAAGAGCATCTTGACAAGAGGAATACGACATTTGAAGCCCATGTCCAGGATCCATGTGTGTGTGGTGGCTCTTGATACACTGACTCCAGCCTCAGTCTACTCCTTGTGAAAGTCCCCAACACTTTTGAATGGCCTTTTCCTGACAATCCTCTCCAGGCTGCGGTCATCCCTGCTGCTTGTGCACCTTTTTCTTCCACACCTTTCCCTTCCACATAACTTTCTATTAATGTGCTTTGATACAGCACTTTGGGAACATCCAACTTCTTTTGCAATTACCTTTTGAGGCTTTCCCTCCTTATGGAGGGTGTCAGTGATGGTTTTCTGCACAACTGTCAGGTCAGCAGTCTTTCCCATGATTGTGATTCCTACTGAATCAGACTGAGAGACCATTTAAGGGCTCAGGAAACCTTTGTAGGTGTTATGGCTTAATTAGCTGATTAGAGTGGGACACTTTGAGTCTAGAATATTTAACCTTTTCACAATATTCTAATTTTCTGAGATTGTGGATTTGGAGTTTTTGTGGGCTGTAAGACATAATCATCTCAATTATGACACATCACAGCTTGAACTATCCTGCTTTGCATGTAATGAGTCTATCTCATATATTAATTTCACCTTTTAAGTTGCATTACTGAAATAAATGAACTTTTGCACGATATTCTAATTTTTCGAGTTTCACCTGTACTATCCAGTCATTTTTACCTCCATTCTTTAAAGTGGCATGCAGTTTATTTAGCTCTGGTTGATGAAATATTTTAAGTGAATTTCAAAGAATAGGGCATTGCCTGGCTTGGGAACTAAAAAAGAGTTGTCACACTGATATTGTCCTGATTACTTGTATCTCTTCTAATACAAGAGCTGATGAACCAGCTGCTCTCTGTACACCAGGAAACTAGTTCTGAAAGATGAGGAAGAAACAGGAATTATTTCTGTTTGCATCTCTAGACAATATTAAGGGTAGCAGTACTTCCATATTTATGCCAGTAGTTGCTCAAGATTCATGTCACATGATATCAAACTGTTAACCATATGGAAAGGAATTAGCCAGCATTCTCTGGTAGGACAGTCTGCCTTCCAAAAGTTCCTTTCACCTAGCAAAATACAGTGAATCTATTGTGATAAATTGTCCACTTCAATTCATAGGGAAGGTCAGATTTCAAGGTCAGATTTCACTCTGAGGGGGGAAAAATTTACCTAAGAAGAAAAATAACTTGTTCTACAGAGAGCCATGGGAATGATATGCCAGAGCAAACAACAATATTTTAAACTAGAAGTGACATTCTCATTGATCAAGGTATCTTGTGTTCTATTACAATAAATTGTTAATTTTTTGCATTCAGGTAATTGCAGTCACTGTCCAAGGAATTCCGGAGAATGTTCTGCCACCAACAATTATACCTCTAAATGCAACAACCTTGCATTTGAGTTGGGTGGAACCAAAGAAGCCAAATGGTTTAATCAAAAAATACCTCATCCATCAAATTGGAAGGGGAATTATATGTACTGGCCCTGCAGACCAGGTGCAGCACACTGTCACAGGTAAGAATAGAAAGTTCTTCAAGCAAATGGCATTGCTGATTTATTTAACTGATCTTTATATTAGCCTGTTTTTTGAAGACTGCAGTCCTTACAATGAACAAATCCTTTAAGTGAATGTATCAATTGGATTACAATTATAACTTCAGAACACCAATGGGGGAGGGGGAGGTTAGTAATTTTTGAATGTCCCCACAAATGTTTATTAATGCTTAATTAATAAGACTTTCTTCATCCTAATATGATAATAATAATAATAACAATAATGATTAATTTCCAGTGCCAATATTTTTATTCAAGAACTTATCAATCACCTTTAGAGGAGTATACTGTTATTATGGCTCGTTGCACAATCAGCCAAATGTTGAGATAGTATTTGGCATTTTTATTCACCTATTGAGTTCTTCCCAAAGATCTGGGATAGGCAGATGTTGACATTGGATGGTCTAAAAGCTATCCTGATCATAGGATGTAATCTGCTCCAAATAAAGATGCCTTTTGCAATTGACTGATGGTGATTTTGTCAATGCTGATGCTGTTCAAGTGGTGCTGAACAAGTTTTGGGATTATACCCAAGGATCCTATTCCTTCCTGATAAGGTCATGATTTAAAAAAATGAAGTTTCCCTGAAAGCTGGCTTATCTTCAGAGAACCAAGTCCCTGTCACTGGTATTAAGATTGCAATTAATAAATTGTCAGAAGTCAATTAACAAATCAATTTTACTATGGTGCAGTATCACGGTGCAGAATATACAAAAGACATGGGTGAGAATAGTAATAAGATTGTCCAAGCATTATTTTCCAAAGATCTTTGGAGTCCTTTCTACTGTATTTTGAACTATTGTGTCTTTCATTAGAAAGTCAGTGATGATTTTTCCAAATTCTTTTGTCAAACTTGAAAACCTTAATCCAAAATATAAGGTGTCATAGCACCAGCTCCTGGATTGTGCTAACTCTTGTCTTCCTTTCCAGCTTTTAAAATACTTGTATAGCTTTTGCAATGACTATTATTGTTTTGCAATATTATTTAGTATAGAACAAAATGTGTTAGCCAACTGCCAATGAAAACATGCAACAAAGGTTCTGCTGAAAATTTTCCATTTGCATCAGTGCCTGGTTAAAAAAGCTTAAAAACAAAAAAGCAAACGGCAACGTTTTCCCTTTTGCTATAGTTTTGTACAAAACTAGGATTTCCCTTTATCCCCAAATTTTATAATTTAAAGGGGGGAGGGGTTGCAATGCCATAGTAGTTGTCAATGCATATTTATTCTTTTACACACTTTGAGTTAAAGAAATGTCATTCCTTTAACGTAGCAAGGAGCCCCACCCCTTTCACTGATCAAGGCAAATTTGCCTTATCATCTCAAGGAGTGATTGTGCTTCTGCAATGTGATAATTATTGCTCTGTAAATTCATGATGTTCGCTAAATCAACTGTACTTATTTCACATAGCTCAACTGTTTGAACTACCCATCGTTCCAGCTCCCGTGGGCCTATGTTTTGATTTTCTCATCTTCTTCTAAAACCTCTGCTGTTCCCAGAGCAACAGTTGAACATTAATGAAGCTATAGCATTAAGCTTTCTCTGAGACTTTGAATCCAAGGGCCTTACAAATTGCAGATGAGGCACCTTGCACCTTGCCACTGCACCATTGTCTCACTGCTTATTTTTAATTACATCAAAGCTTTGGAAACATGATCCCATAAATGCTTGGTGGGAATTGTGGTGAATGTATTCATCATGTGAAATCCATAAATTGCTTATAATCCTCTCAAGATGTTTAAAAAAAGCATTAAGTAATTGAAGACAGGAAGTCCTGAGTTAATTATTTAGAGGTGTTATCAGTGCTTTAAGTAAACTGAAGCATTTTCCACTATCGCCCTGACTTGAATGCCATTGGGATCAAGGGGCACCAGCCATCATCTTCTCATGTTCTCTAATGCAAACAGCAAATGGCAGCTTGTCAATAAAAGACCTTTTTATATCATTTATTAGTGAACACTTCCAGTACTCTGTACAGAACAATTTGGATTACAGTTATTGCATTGTTTCACTTGGTGTTACAATTCCTTTACAAATAACATTTCTAACACAATGCTAGGAGGGTGAAAAGAATTTGAAATATTGGATGGAATGGAGTATTAAAAGAAAACTGAGACTGCCCATTTCAGTATCAAAATCAAAGTCAGAAATTCATTTTTCTAAGTCTAATTTTAGATTTTAAGTGTTTCTAGAAATTATGGGATGGGTGTAGGGTATAATATTTTTCCTTAAGACTTTAATGTTGGTTGAATAGTTTTTGATATATGAATCGCATACACTGTAGACATTTTGTGCCAGAGTACCAAAACACAATTGTGTTTTTTAAATTCTCATAGGGTAGGAAAATTCCAAGTTGTATAAAACCAGCAAAAATTCCTGTAGTTTCCTATGCCACTGTGGCATATGTTTATGTGGACCAGGTACTAGTTCTTAATTTCAGCACTGAAGGCTTTTTAACGCATAAAAGATTTGGTAGATAAGTACCTGTATTATGGATGTTTGCAAAATAGATACAGTTTTAGAGAACAGTGAATGAAAAAAGTCTAACTATTAAAATCTTTATTATCCAGTAAATTGCACCAATGAGCTTATAACAGATTGTAAGATCTAGCATGTTCATCTATTTTCTTTAAAGAGTGAGAAATGCCAAACATGCAGTCTGAAAGGATGAAGGTATAGCTGCTTTCTCAAATGTTTCATTTTTCAGAACATGTCCTCTTGAGTTATCAGCCTGGTTTCTAAACATTCCTACGCTCACAAAGAAATTTCAAGATGTAGTATTATTAAGGGATGGGAGAAAAAAAGAGAGAGGAAGGCCTCATTTGGCTGCAACATTAAGCCATGGATTGATTTTACAGAATTAGTCATAGCAAGTCATTGACTTATATGCTGTCTCCCACATTTTAAATTAATTGCTTCTTAGGACTCTAGAAAGAGTGCAGAGAAGAACAACAAATATGTTTAGGGGACTGAATGTGAAAAGATATGAAGAACAGTTGCTGGAATTGGGTATGTCTAGTTTATTGAAAAGAAAGACTAAGGATGACATAATAAAAATGTTCCAATATCTAAGGGACTGCCACAAAGAACTGGAGGTCAACCTATTCTCCAAAGCACCTGAAGTCAGGACAAGAAGCAATGGATGAAAACAAATCAAGGAGAGAACCAACCTAGAACTAAGGAGAAACTCCAACAATGTTGGAGGTTTTTAAGAAGAGATTGGACAACAATTTGTCTGAAATGATTTAAGGTTTCCTGCTTGAGCAGGGGGTTGGACTAGAAGACCTCTGAGGACCCTTCTGTTATTCTATTATTCTTGTGACATCAAATGGGGTGAAACTATGATTTATCTTCTCCAGAAAAAAGCCAATTGTGAACTATAGAAATTTATCAAGTTGGCTCATTTCAGCAAATCGTAATTAACAAAAATATCAATGTAGAAGTCAGACAACTGATAAATTACTATTAATCAAAAATGTAAACAAATGTTTCTGATCTTTTCCCCATGGCCATACCAAATGAGAAATAGCATGGAGAGTTAAGAATACCTGAGTTTAAGGGTCAGTCAACTCATATTTTTCATTCTGCAACATTAAGCCAGGGGTAGATTTTACAAGAATTAGCCACAGCTAATGTAATATTTTGCCTGACTATTACCAAAGAAGACAAAGAAAATAATTTGCAAAGAGAGACTCTGTCCTGACTATTCATTCTGTTTTCCTCATAATTTCTCCAAAGAAATATTATTCATTTATTTTTATTAGTACAAGACTTATACCAGAAATTCTCTAGAAATTCAAGAGGCTTATGGAATGACAAACATAGAAGGTAATTGGGACATTCATTAACATTTGAGGAGGAAAAAAACAGAAGACAAGACAAGATACTCTGTTTCTATCAGAATGAATTAATTCAAGCATCTGCAGAATTAATTCCATAAAAAAGCCAAAGGAGGCAGACTTCATGCTGGAAAAGATCCTAAATTCTAAGTTACTTTTAATAAGCAGAATAATCCCCACTTCAAATGTTATCAGTTCCATGATGAAGTGAGCTTAAGTGCGCCACTATTCCTCTGACTTCCTTTCTCTGACTGGAATAATATTGCTTAATCTTATCTGAATGTTCTTAGGGTTTACTGCATAATGCATATGAGATATTTTGTATTCATCTTCATCATGATCATCACCATCACTTGTATTAAAACTCACTATTGGTTTTATACAATAGGAACCTTCTCAGTCATGGAATATAGTTATGTAAATTAGAATGTTCATCTTTAAAATGATACACAAGTTAGCATGAAATTGGTTGAAGCAGGTGATTTTTGTTCCTTATATACTTATTGTGTAAGGAAAAGCTCTACACAAGAGAAAGTTGCTATACAAATCTGTTAGAGATGGCATGTTGAATTCTGCCATTCAGTTTCCCAAGTTTCCTTGAAAAGAGCCCTTTGTTTGAATGCAGTGGCTAATAATTGCATAGGAAAAAGAATGCTTAAAACACAAGCGGATTGAGCTTTTACATAAGCAGAACTCTTCTTAGCTGTTGAATATTTTCAGCAAGGATGCAGAATTAAGACTTTTAAAGCTTCTTCCAGGCTAATGTATCTCTAAGTTCTCGTGTCCAAAATTTTAATGTGGGAATTATTATAAACTGTATGCATGTACTGAGGCTTGTAAACAGAACACAACAAAATCTGATCCAGACTTGTTATCCCTATGTTTTAATATCATAATAAATAGTAAAAACAGGATGCTTATTATCCCTGATGCATTTAGTGCAATATGCACTTCTTTGCCTGCCTTCTGTTTTTGTTTTTTTGCCTCTCATTCTATGGTATACTTGCTGTCAATCAATCTTGCTTTATAATAAATGTTTCTTTTTAGTAGTGAATTAAATGATTCCCTTTAGGAACAATTGAAATTACTATTGCTAGAATAATCTGTCCAATAGCAAAATATTGAGTATTTGGCTTCTATATTTTTCTCTTTTTAATTCTAGCATTTATGAATATAATACAGAGATAATTCTCTCCCTTCTTCTGTTCTGGTTAATAATTGACTCCTGTCTGTACTCTTGACTCCTATCTTGAGTTTTCATTTTTTTAAGTTTCCTCTTCAATTTACAAGCAATATATATTCCCAGTGACTGTTTATTTACTGTTATTCTTTTATTTATTAATTAATTTATTTGATTTGTCAATCCTTACAATATAATAGGTGTAAGAATAAACATGAGTAAGAATACAGGAAATAGGTACAAATAAAAATGGTCTGTTGGAAACAGCTGAGAGCTCTACAACTATTATGAGAAAGGAACGGGGGAGCAACTGTGAGGTTGCCATCTAACTAGTTTCAGACAAAGTGCTACGCCCTACAGTTTTCTTCTTTTTCTTGTTGTAGAATTGCATTGGTTTTTTTTCTTAAAGTAGTTGCAATGCAAAGATAAGACAGAGCTGGATCCCTCAGTACAAAAACAAGGAAGGAAGGAAAGAATAGAATGAGAACAGAAGTCTACTAGCAGTTTTGGAGATCATAATAAAGAAAATCAAGAAGCTTTCCTTTCTTGATAACTGCTTTTTGAAACATATGCATAAGAAAGAATAGATATCTACATATTTATAAATCAGTTTTCAAAGGTTATGTTGAATTTTGCAGTGTTTTATGTAGAGAAATGCTGAGGCATGTTCACAAGGAACAATAGGAGGTTATTGTGAATTTAGGGTATAGAAATAGGAGAAGACTTTCTAAAATTGGTACTGAATGGCAAAAGAGAATGCGTTTGGGAATAGACGCTAACAGACATTTAGTGACTATAAAATAAATAGTTCTACTTTAAAAATCAGTTAGATCCATTCCCTAAAATTGGAGACATGCAGGTCTATTTACAAAAGCTAAACCTATCTATTTTATGGAATTGGTAGATAGTTAAAAGTAGTGGCAGCTGTTTGAATTTAAAAAGGCCAAGAAAAATAACAGACACTTGGCTGTCGCTAAATGAAACATGAGAAACTAGAGGAGTGGTATATTTTTAGGAAAAAAAATTAGCACTAGAAACTCTTTTGGTTCCCGGCTTTGCTTGTGGTTTCTTAGAGGCAATAAGCTGAAATACTTATTATCACTTTTGAAAAATCATGTATGCTTCCAAAAAAATGAACTTATATCACTTTATGATATGTGAAGATTAAGTTCTCTGAATTGGCCAGAATTTAGCACCAAAAACCTGACACAAGAAGAACTGGGATGACGTGATAGCAGTATTCCAATATTTGAGGTGCTGACACAAAGAAGAGGAGGTCAAATATTCTCCAAATTACCAGAGGGCAGGACAAGAAACAATGGTTGGAAACCAATCAAGAAGAGAAGCAACTTGGAATTAAGGAGAAACTTTCTAACAGTGAGGCCAATTAAACAGTGGAACAGCTTTGCCTTCAGAAATCTGGGTGCTCCATCACTGAAGGTTTTTAAGAAGAGCCTGGATAGCCACTTGTGTGAAATGGTATAGGGCAGTGGTCGCCAACCTTTTGGACCTCAGGGACCACCAAACTCATAATTTTAAATCCCAGAGACCACTAACTGGTTCTGTGGGTGTGGCCTAATTTGTGGGTGTGGCTTGGTGGTCATGTGACTGGCTGGGCATGGCTTGTATGTAAATATTATAAATATTTATATAAATATTGAATTTTTTATAAAAAAGAGCAACTTTTACCCAAAATCAGGCAAAACAGGCAGGCAGATTAAGTTGCTCACAGAAT